TGTTTTACAATCTTTGCTATGTTTGTCATTCTATCCAATCCAACCTAATCGGCTCAATGACATAGCCAATTGCTCACCACATCAGACCCACCATTGTCAATCACTGTAATTAATTAACATCATACAAATCGTGTGATTTAGTAGGCTACTTGGACCACGTTAAGAATCATCTCATTGGAGTACGATCCCGCATTAAATTTTTTAATACAAAATAGTTCACCCCAACGCCTCATAATACTGCCATTGTACATCCTAACGCCAGCCGCAACCTGTTTACCATCCCCCATCCATATCCATCATAGCTTCCATAGCATCCATATCGTCATCTTCCACTCGTGTAGACTTTCCTGTATCTTGTTTTGAAGGTCGACCAGGAGGTACATTGTCGTTATCTGCGGCAAGCAATGCTTCAAGATCATCGTCTAACATTTCGTCATCGCCCCCTTCCTGTTCTGCTTCTGCAAGTAATGCCTCTAGATCATCGTCTGGCGGCCCATCATCTCCAGCTGTGATAACTTTCGGGGGACCGAATATACTATCATTACCACCACCAGAAACCGAAGTAGACTGTAAAGCTGGGTTTTGTCGCGCATTCTTCGGAGTAGCATCATACATATCATCGAAGTCCGGATCTTGATTTGGAACCGGTGTTTTAGGTCTTTCGCTCGCTGCATTTTCGAATATCGGTGCTATCCTCGAGACTATTTTCTCTCGTTCACTATCATCGCGCGGAGGAAGTTCTAGTTCATCAAATAGGGAGTCTTCGTGGACCGATGACTTGGCTTTTCCCTCATTAATCCAGTCCATTCTCGCAGATTGTATCATTTTCTTGTGACCTAGCTTTTCGACCATAGCTAATGCGTCAGCAAATTTGGCTTTTGGAAATAGATCATCAAGCCAAAGTTGGTAAAATGCGAGGAGACGAGCTGCATCTGAATACTATGATTCTGTAAGTATAAAGCTGACATTCACAAAATTGTTGCTATACATACCTCATGGCCTTTACCCTTAAACTTCAAATGATCTGCCGCTTTTTTCCGTAGTTTTTGTATTCCTGCAGAAGATAAAAGCCTTGAAATCCATATTAGTGTCTCCAAATCCATCTATCAGACAAATTGAACATACTTGTGCTCATCAAGTTTCACTCGGGGAACTCTAGGCTTCTTGGTAACCTGGATTTCCTCATCGATACCAAGTCCTGCACCACTTTTGATATTCCCATCTGAGGTCTTGGTTGTTTCTTTTTCTTTACTTCTAGGAACCACGTAATTGTCGTTGAAAGGATCATTTGCATCTCCAGCATCGTAATCGAAAAGGTCATCTAGATCATCAAATTCATTTCCACCGGCATTGGGTGTTTCGGTGGGAAGAGGCCTTGGTGGTGGAGAGTCCATTTTATAAGTTTATAAGTAGATCAATGATCAGAATTTAGTAAGCTTTCGTTTCCTTAAAATTAAGATATAACCCGAATTCACATGGAAATTCAAAATTCGTTGTGTCAGACGCGTTTACGATAAGGAAGACGCGACGGAACGTAAGGCAAAAATCAATTTAAGTCAGGCAGAAATATCTTGACCTGGCTCATGCACAATTTAGCGTTTCGATATCGAACCTCCATCAAGAATTGACCTCACCAGTGCGCTGAATCACCATTGTAAGCAATTGGCATACTTCAAAATGTCGAATACCGAACAAAGGCCATTTGTACCTTCAAAGAAAATCAACACCGAGTATCCTGTAAGTTGTCGTCACTTTGCTGCCGAACTTTTGCGAAAGAAACACACCAGCTGACTGCTCCCAAGCTCATCGACAGTGACCCGTACGTTCCATAAACCCCGCCAGTGATATCGCGAGGAGGGGCAAAATACTGATACGTATCATACAGACATATCAAAAGAGTACTTGGCTATGCAAGGCCATCGGACTATGCGGTCGGAGCAGCGACGGCTACCGCAGGACCGGGTTTGATGCTGTTGTGGGAACGTATCTCACCCTCACTCGTTGGCAAAGGAGGATTTGCTCCAATCATGCGATTATCTGGAGTTATTGGTGTCGGAGCTGGTTTCTTCATGTTTTACCAACGCTCTATACGTATGTATTCAGATCAACCTGCTGCCCCCGTTTCATTGCCCCGCCTTCACCTGAACTTGTTCAGATGTGCTAATTTATAACTACAGTACGATTCTACGGTTTCACGGAAAACAAGCGTGAGCAAGAAATGGATATGAGAGAAATGGTGAACAAAGTTAAGAAGGGAGAATCTTTATATGGGGAAAGCTCAACTACACCATATATTCAGGGAGTCGCATCGAGGAATTCAAGATATGCAGGAGTTTGGATGCATGTTATGCCTTGGTTTAACATGGTAAACCACAACCAGCATGGAGTTGATACAGCCAAGTATTACCAACAAGCCGAGAGAGAGTTGGAGGCTGAGAGTTCGGGAAAGAAACTGTCAAACTAGAAGTGCGAATTGTGATGAAGCGGCGCTTAGGGAAAATATCTTTTGGGGGTGAAATCGAACAACTCGAAAAGGACGACTGTAAATAAGGGAACTAGAATGATGTGCTTAACTTTTCGGTCGCGAGCCTAAATTGTGAAATTGTGAATGTGTTACATGATGTTTACATATTCGATTCTCGCGTAATATGCATCATGTCTTTCCCTAATATGCTACCTGGGGTATATCTCGACCATCTATTGCATCCAAACCATACGCCGCCTATCTTCAATCTTTTGGAAGCTATTCAGTAGACAAGAATATTTCAATTTTAATCCGTTTCATCACCCTTTGCTCTCGGATCTATTATTGGTTCCACCTCCAATTTCAATATTCTCTCTTTCTTGTTTCTGTGTTCGGGCGCTGCAGCAAATTAGCTTCGTGAGGCCTTCGAGACAATGGAAATAGAATCAGAATACTTACCCCTTCCATTCTCTTGGACATAAAATCTCCTCAAAATAACAATAGCTTCTTCTCGCAACCACCCACCACTAACTTCATAATCGCCCTCATGTTTCTCGATTCTTTCTTCATCGAGTGTCTGATTCTTCCACTCTTTTGCTTCATCTTCGGCGGCGTCATTACTATCGAATTTTCCGTTCTCAACATGAATATTCAAAACTCCACCATTCCCTCCAAATTTATCATTAACGGCCCCATACCATACTTTTCGTATTCCAATTTGTTGTAATAGTGATGCACACATTATACAAGGTTCTATCGTGACGTATAGATCCAAATTTCTCATATCTTCCGGCCTATACCCCCGCTTTGGATTTTCGCTCCCATCACCTTTTTCGTCGATGTCCTCATTTCCATTCTCCTCCCTCTTTCTTTTCGCGCTCCTACGCCCATCCGCGTCGCCACGTTCAACATTGAAACTCGAAGACAGCAACTCATCAATAGCAATAAATTCTGCATGTCTTGTCCCATTATAACTCCTGTTGGTGGCATTCATTCCCCTAGCTACGACCTTCTTGAGGATCGGATCAACGATTACACAACCTACGGGGGTCTCATTGGTGTTCAAAGCGAGATTTGCCTAAAGATATGTCAATATTGACGCTCAAAGAATAGATAAGTAGATAGAATACCATAGCAAGAGCTTCACGCATGAAAGATATATGTGTATCTATTTCATCTTGAGTCATAGATTTTGCATCGGGAGGAAGATTTATTTGAGATGATACTTTCGTATCAGAGATGACTTCTGAAGTTACCATTGAAGGTTCCATAGTTTTAGATGGAGCCCTTGCTCTCTTGACTTCAAGTGGACAGAGGAAAACCTCTCAGTGACGAGGAAGAGAATCCCGTGACGAGCGCAAGACTAAAATTTCACGTCACATGATTAACCTTAAAGCTGTCACCAGAAGATGGATCATAAAATGTTGACATGATAATTGGTCCTTTGCAATTTCTCGAAAGACGTCAATATATACTTAATCACCGAAATTCAAAAAGTTGTGATCACGAGAAGAGGCATAATCGTCCAAAGTGCTCAGATCGAGGCCGGCAATGGGCAATTGATCATACCCTAAAACTATCTAGTTGTTGATAGAGGAATATCAATCTAGTAGGTACTTTCATGACTTCGAACCTATAAATACTCTTTAAACTATTAATTATCGAAAGTCGAATGTTTGATAATCTTGATCAGCAAAAGATCGATTCGGTAGTCAACTTTATTCGAGACCTGATAACTCAATTCGAGATGATTCAAACTTTCAATAACCTTCGCTGATACTTCGATAACGATTAAGTTAAATTCAGTCTTCCAAAACAATGGACAGAGTTTCGATGGAAGCAAATAGAAATCACTAATTGCTAAAGACATAGGTGCATGTATTGATATTCTATATATAACCATCTTGCTATTTAAAGTTTTGGTTGATCGTTTGTCTCCGACCGCGTAGTAATGGGCAAGTTTTACCGAGAAACTCCTCGACTCTCTCTTCTCATACACTTCACTTGCGAGACTACCCCTATTTATGGTTCTCCTTTATGAAGTCTGATTGAGTCTCGTTCCTGTGATCTACGGGACATAAGCTATTATTGAGCTTTGTATTTGAAAGCAACGCTATCGATGGCCCAATCTTTATTCCGAATTTCATGTCAGCTTGATTGGAACCTGCGAGTCTCTCCATTCTTGTATTGGAAGTAGTTTGAGACCTTTCGCGATTTTTCTGGAAGCTTTGATCCTTTTAATCATCGTTCTGCAGTTGCACTGCTTTCGAAGTCAATTGTCTCGTATTCAGACAGCTACTCTTCCTTCGAAGATTCATGTCAGCAAGTGTTCCAGGCCGTTTTGAAAAAATATATTAGTATATATAAGAGGAGACATGACGCATCCCATTTCCTTCTGATCATTAGCAACATCTCCACCTTCAAGTGAAAGTCATCAGCATACCATATTCAAGGGGTATCCAACGACTTTTTGTATCAATCAAAGTCCTCACTTACTCTTTGAAACATAAAATCCATTCTCATCGTCAAGCCGAAAATGCATTTCAGCAAGCCAGCTCTCGTCGCTGCTTCCTTCTTATGGGCTACCACTTTTGCCTCTCCCATTAACTCGTAAGTCTAGTCCCCTTGAGAAACACTCAGTCTTAGATCATTGCACCTTTCACACCTCTGATCCTTTTCTTCCATGAAGACTTATACTCTATCGTCTTATCTTGAAACCTAACATTCAATTTTCCAGTCCAGCCATACTAAGAACTAGAGGACTCATCGGTGGCTCCACGACCGATAACAATACCAAAAGTACTGCAGGAAGTACCACTACCGACAATGCTGTAGGAAATGACAATACGAAAAATGCTTCAGAAAGTAATGCTGTCGAGGATGCTATAGGAAATCTGAATTTGAAAGATATTACAGGAGGTCTTAGTGCCCGCGATGTTGAAAGGCTTCATCATGGCCACAAGAGTCAAGAAGGCGAGATTGTCGACGATGCACTTGATATCGCCGACGATGCTACACCTGGTGGCTTTATTGACCATGTTAAAAAGCGTGGCATTGTCGGCGATGGTGCGGGAGGTCCTATTGCCCGCGATGTTCTTAGGCGTCATCATGGCCACAGGAATAAAGGAAATGGCACATCCGGCGGTGCAGTTGATACTACCAAAGATGCCACAGGAGGTCATGATACGAGCGATGCTGCAAACAGTATTGTCAGCGATACTACAGGAGGTATCCTTGGTGGTATTGGAAAGCGTGATGATGTCAGCGACGATTCAGTAGACCATGCTGCTCGCGGTAACGCGAAAGATGCTGTGAAAGATTCTACAGGAGGGACTGGATTTCTTACTGGTATTTTGAGGCGTCTTGTTCTCCGCGATAATGACGGCGCTGTACACGATGCCAATCAAGCCGCACACGATGCCAACCAAGCTGTACACGATGCCAACAAAGCTGTACATGATGCCAACCAGATTGTACATGGTACCCTGCATGGATTGCTCAGTGGGATCCTACGCTGAGCGGGGAATTCTGATCAGCAAGATATCATTTTGGTGGCTTGGATGCCAGTTTTATTTCCAACAAGCTGTTAGGTGTTTTTGTGGGGAGTTAGATTGATACAATTGTCGGATAGGTCATAGGGATTTCTTAGTCGGTCATTCTATCGATGTCATCTTTCTTGGTACAGTTTTCTACTTTAATGGATCAATCAAAAATATATCAATAATTCATTTAACATAGTTTATCAATATATACATTATATCAATACATACACCACTTTTACCTCAATTTACATTCTTCAATTTCAATATATAATTTATCAATCATTTATTATATAATTAAATAATAGAAAAGGAAAAATGCTTTTAATTATTAAAGCTATTGAAAAAGATAAAAAACTCTCGATTCGAAAGATTATTAAGCTATATAATATCATATATATAATACTTATTTAAAGAATAAATAAAACAACTTTTATAATTGAATTTCAATTACAAAATCTAAAACTTAATAAAATAGAAGAGCAAGTAATTATTTTATATATTCTTAATATAAATTTAAAAGGTTTTTTTTTTAAATTTAAAGAGATAAAAGATATAACGAATTATATTTTCGAATTGAAAAAAGAAAAAGCTGTTGAAAAACTTTGAGTATATTGATTTATAAAACAATATAAAGAATTAAAGATATATTTTAATTATATTTATAATTTTCAAAGAGCTTTTTATAAGGATTTTAAGCTTTTTGAAGAGTGGTTTCGATTAATTATAAATATATAAGCGAAATATAGTATTTTGAATAAAGATTTCTATAATTTTAATGAAACAGACTTTATAATATGAATTATATATATAATTATTATTATTATTAGTACTAAAAGATATAATAGAAGTAAATTAGTATAATTAGATAATTAAGAATAAACTATAATGATAATATATAGAAATAGAAAGGATGAAATTATTCCTTTATTTCTAATAGTTCAAAAATAGGTTTATCTCTTTAATTAATATATTGAAACTAATCTTCCTATAAACTAGACTATTAAATCTATATCTAATAAATAAACGAATAATAAAACAGATTTAGAATAATTAAAACATTTCGATAAGTATATTAAAAATCGAAGAAAAGGCAAATATTAAATGTTGATATTAAATAGATATGAAAATTATAAATTAAAAGCTTTTCAAGTATATTATAAAGAGAATAATATTATATATTTATATTTATTATTATATTCAAATTATTTAATTCAATTATTTAATATTAACTATTTTAATAATCTAAAATGTTCATATAATAATCAAATTGATAGATTTATTAAAGTATATATTAATTATATTTTAAAGATTAAATTCTTTATAGCTTTTAAAGTTATATATAAGGAATTAATTACTTTTTAGAATATGAAATTAGAATTTTAAGGAATAGATTTAATCCCATTTAATTCTAAAACTATATTTTCGAAATTAAATATTTGAATTCATACATCTACCCCTCCTTTTTCAATTTAAATTAATGAATCTCTCAAACCTCTTATAATCTAATTAAAGCTTTTTTCAATCAATATTAATTAAATCTTAAATAACTTGTTATTAATTAAGCTCATTTATATTTATATTTGAGATTATACTAATTTTAGTTAAAAGTACAAAGCAATTAGCTTATGAAAATATACTTTTAAATATAAAGATTTGTGTACTTCGAATAACAAATAAAATATTAAACAAACATTAATATACAAAAAAAACTCAATTATATTAAGGAGGAGTACTTATTGAATAAAAAGCTTTTAATATATTATTTCAATAAAAGATTGATATTCAGATTTAATATAACAAATATTAAAAAGAAAATAAATTTAATAAAAAAGTATCTTCTATTTAATATTATAATAAATATAAAAGGATAAATTATAATACAAAAATCTATCAAAATAATACAATAAATCCTAAATTGTTAGATTCTAAATAGTTTTAATTAATTGATTTAATTGTTATTAAATAATATAGATTTGAAAGTGTAAATTGAGATAAAAGTAGTACACATATTAATATAATATATACATTAATAAACTATATTATATATAATGTACAAACAATCATTATGAGTTTTTGATTCTAAATTAATATTTATGATTTATTATACTACTTGCATGCTATAGAATCTAGGCTTAAGACTCCAAACATGACCCTACTAAATCTATCTTTGTATTATATTTATAAAATTACCTAGTCCTCGGTCTCAGCTAAGACGATAATCCGCTTACGCTTCTCTTGAACAATCACAACATCAAAGTATAGATTTCGGAAACGAAGGCTCCCTTTGAATGATCAAATCTCTGGAAATATACCTAATTATAGTTTTTCACGTTATCTTCTCCCTCTCCTGTTGCACCAACAACCTCGAACAGACAGCTTCGACGCTGCAATATATATAACATTTCAGAACCCTGATCAAAACTCGGAGTATACAACACTAGAATACAAGACTGATCCTCTCAACTCAACATCCGGCCATGATATCGATTTGCACTTTCTCAAGTTTGTAGATCAATATATATTTTGCGGCTGGTTATACTGAGAGGTGAGTGTTCAAATTGGCGCTTTTTACATTATAGAAGCCCTAGTAGATAGTTTTCCTGACGATAAAATGTTCGTTGCGGAGATCAGTAGCTCCCCGTAAGCTACTGACACTGTTTACTTAGTAATTCGCGGCTGTTTCAAATGTGCTCGATGCATACCAACATCAGATGATGAAACCATAGAAGCGGGAGAGCTTCCTGATTCTTGTTTGGGAGGAGAGAAGCTCGATATGTAGCCAGATGACTGACTACTAAATGCAAAGCTCTTTGATTTAGGTCCTTTCCCGAGAAGGTGTGAAATATTGACGGTAGTTTGATTTGACTGTGTATGAACAAAGAACCCCATATATAATCTTATAAGTGGCGGCTACGCATCCGCTGAAGAACTATCAAAATCATCTTGATATATTTTTGCTCGACATTAATCAGCACAGAATGTCACCGGGTTCCCATCATTTACCTGTGATATTCACAGCATTTTAATAAATGATCACGTGTCGCTGGAACGAGGCGTGACTCACACCCCTGAACATCGACGCTTCGTAAATCCAAATCAAGTTCGTGCAAAGTTCCAAATTCCAAGACATGTCTCTTGTAAAAAGAGCCAAAGAAAAAAAGTCGAGCAAAGGATGCTGGACGTGTAAAAGTAAGCTCACATCTACACCCATTTTCCCAATCCAAGTAAATGCCCCGCCACCCAATGTAACCCCCACATTGATGTTCACGATCTAACAGTTCATGAAGGCAGGAAAATCGGATGCGACAAAGGTATCCCTCATTGCAATAATTGCAAAAGAACTGGTCGACTTTGTGAAGGCTATGGTGTAAAACTTCACTGGCCAGAATCGGGTGATGGACGGAGACCAGTTCATTCTTGGGAGAATGAAGCTCATCTACCTGAACAAACTTTTCTAGCTTTCCCGGCACGTGAAAAATATCAGTTTCTAAATTCGACTTTTGTTGACGTGCGGATTGCATCCGGTTATCAGCAGGAATGCTATTCAACACATCGGTATATGACGAGCCCTCAGAGAAGCTTGAAATTTGGATATGAAACTACTATTGGGTCACGGGATGCGACATTATTGTCATACTGTAAGAGGAAGAAATGTGCTGCATAATTGGAATGTATTGACAAGCTCCTATAGATACAGAGGTTCTGTCTCGCATGATTACGACCATTGATGATAGTTTGAATGGTTTTCGGAATTACCTACTCCCGAATGCGCTTGCAGATCGATACCTTTCGTGTCTGAGTCTTCGATATGCTATCCTTGCAGTATCAGCGTATCACTTATGGGGGACTGAAGCTGCTGTACAATACAAGGTTTCTGCTATACGACTATTATCACAGTCTATTCAGAGAGGTGATGGTGGACTTCGAGGGCAATTTGCCACTTGCATGATGCTTTGTGTAGGCGACGTAAGTATATCTACGCTGCAATTACTGAAAGCCTATATGTCTTAACTTCCGGATAGGTTTTTGATGGGGCTGATGGAAGCTGGCCTACGCATTTAAAGGCAGCAAGGGATATTGGCTTGAGAATGACGAAGGATCATTTCTTAAATACTTGGCTTTTATATCATGATGTCCTAGCAGATTTTAGTAATGGGAGGCGGCAGAGACAATTTCTGAGTAGCACATTTTTGGGAGCCCCGAGTGCAAATCCTGAGAACAAAATTGTAGGTTATGCGTAGGCATTGAAAGAGAGAAGCTGACATTTGGCAGATCATCGGTTCGCTTGGATGTTCGTTAGAAGTCCTCGAATGCATATCTTGTATCAATGAACTTTCCGGAATAACAGAAAGGCAAGGAGAATATCAAGATTTTGCCCGAGGACTAGTAAAACAGCTCGAAAATGCTCATCAAATCTCCGCAATCATGGAAGATGACACCACTGGCAAGATTGATCAAATTAAAATAGAAAACACGGCCGAACTTTACCGGCTGGGTGCCCTCATATATCTTCATTCAATACTATCAATACCTTCCGATTCCGATGTAATACAAGATCTAGTAAATAAAGCGTTGGAAATTCTGACCAGGAATGGTATTTGTACAAGTCCATGGCCATTATTTATAGCTGCTTGTGAAGTTGTATCTGACGAGCAACGAATCCAGATCCTTGATGTCTTGGAGGATATGCAGAGTGAAAGGAGAATCAGAAATCTAGAAATAGTGCGGGGTATCATAGAAACAGTATGGAAGCAGATGGATTTAGTAGAAGGCAGTGGCGCAAGTAAGAGAGTTGACTGGAGGAAGTTGATTGACATGCGGAAGCGAATACCCTCCTTCATCTGAGAGATAAAGTAATTATTGGCGACAATGTAAGATTATCAATACAAACAATATCAACATAGGATATCAATCCCATGATACCGTATCAACCGTTTCGGTTCGATACCTCTTTCATACTGAACTAAGTGGAGGAACATTGACCTCGACCAATTCTTCTCCGATTCCTCTTCTCATAGCCTCCCCAAGAATAGCCTCGGTAGCAGTGGCACCAACTCTCGTGACTCCCAGTACCCTAACTCTTAAAAGATCATCCAGGGTCCTAACTCCGCCAGCCGCCTTGATTTGTATTCCTTCCTTTACATTCTCTCTCATCAGGCTGAGATGCGGTAATGTGGCACCTTGATAATTGTACATCCCATCACTCTGTTTCACAAATCCATATCCCGTACTCGTCTTCACAAACGCTACCCCAACCTCGCTGCAAATATGACATAACTTCCCAATCTCCACATCGGTAAGAAAGTCATTTTCGAAAATGACTTTCAATATCGAGCCTTTGGACACCACAGCTTCATTGATAGCTTGAATTTCTTTTTGAACATAGTCCCAATCTCCCCCTAATGCTTTACCAATATTGATCACCATATCGATCTCTTTTCCACCAGCTTCCGCGGCTTTAGTTGCTTCAAACACCTTGACTTCTGTGGTGCTATTTCCAGCAGGAAATCCAATCACGGGACATACATTGACACCTGTTCCTTTAAGAGCAGAGATGGCTTGTTCAATAGAATATGGTTTAACGCAGGCAGTAGCAACTTTATATTTGGCGGCGATGGAAAGACCAGCGGCGATTTCGGTATCGGTCATGGTAGGGTGGAGGAGAGAATGATCAATCATTTTGGCAAGGATCGGGAGGGATACTGATACTGTAGGTGGAAATTTGATTGAGGAAGCCATCTTTGAGATCTTTTGTGTATTAGATATCAGACTGTTTAGATGATTTGCTGGGAAAAGTTTCAAAAAACAAAGTATGTACAACGCTGGTTACTTTATGAAGTAAATCGGGGTGTAACGCTAGATTGGGCCAAGAGGTGGGGGCTCTTTAAGGTTACCAAGAATCCAACAACATGGCAAGAATGCACAACAAAATGTTCAAGCACAACTCTCGGTCCCGAATGAAGCAATTTTGCGCTGTTTGCCTCGTCGAAGACAGAAATTGAATATCTTAATAGTCCTGCGTTGTGTCTGGTAGTGGTAGAATAACTGTCGTTGTCGAAGAGATGCGCTTTCTTGAAAGTTCATGATCAATTGTGACTAGTGCTCGCATTCATTATCGACACATACCAAAGTTTTCGTACTATGCAACTGCTTTCAGGTGTTTCTGAGAGATCTATGGGGCAATCGGACCCATCAATCATAGATTCCGATTGAAGTCGAGGATCTGGTGATCCAAATATTGTCAGTTGAGAGAAGACTGCAGGGATATTTGTTTATTTGCTCACGATTTCGACCCTCGTCCCTTCTCTCCTTGCTGGTGTTATTCTTGTTCGTCAGTTAGACTGTTTATTATGACTGAATTACGTCTTATACGTGTTTAAGTTGCCAGTAGCCACAGGATAATGATTGTTTGAGAATATAAGGGTACGTCAAGGTATAGGTCTTCGGTATGGCGGCCGTTGTAAGTTGTTCTGAACCTTGCCTTGAGTTCTTCCCTCCTTCCGCTGGAAATCAAATTTGTGTCATTTATATGAATTACAATTGCCTTAGGATATTGTTACCCGAAAATTTGGCGTGTCCACGGGTATCCTCCTCATTCTCTATACGGGAGTTCCTCCCCATGGACCTCAAATCCCATCTGCGTTCTCTTCTTTTTTCCTTGTTCTAACAATTCACATATGACTTTTCATTCTTTGTCAGACGCTATAATTATCTGCTACAAAATATCAAAATCATTTTTCTATTCAGACTCCAAGTGGAAACTCCAAGATATTAGAATAAATCTTGAGTTATTGCTCGTAAATTGCTCTTCAGGCTTTTATCCTGAATTTTTTACCTCCTTCTCCAGTCCTGCACTTCAATATGGCCAAGAAAAAGAACAGCAGTCATCAAGAATCTCTTGAAGATGCTGCTACGAGGCTCAAGAAAGAAAAATGGGCAAGAATACATGCCGAAGCTAGGCAGCAAATTGTAGAAAGACGTATTTTGGCCGCCGAGGAAATGGCAGCAAATGTAAGTCCAACCCGACTGCCTAAACTCGTTGATTTCAATATTTACACATTATTCTCATCTAGCATTAAACTCCTTCATCACTTGCGCAATCTTACTTGAGATCTCTCAAGCCTTGAACCTTTTAGAAGGTTTCGGGCATTCTGAATAGATGTTCATATTGATCCAGACGTTTAGCAATATTTCAATGTTTAAAAAGCCTACTAGTTCTTCTAAATCACAGCGTACAGAATTGCACTTCCTATTATCAAAAGCAGCTGCTACAGGCCTTGTCGACACTTTTGGCCTATTACCCATCGAAGTCAAGCTTCATATGTTCAATGAATGACAGAAATTGATTCTTTGCACTCCTTAATCTCCGCCTCTAGATCATTCCATAAATGTTATATCAACGATCAATATCAATGCGAAGTATTCTACAAGACACTAGTCAATGAAATGACTCTTCCTGTCTTTCTTCAAGCGGTTGCCAAATTCAGCAATTCAGTACGCGGAATACGATGGACAGGAGAATGGACTCCTGCATTCCAGAATGTGCGCGAGTTTATGGACCAGTATTCCACAAATTCAAGAGCCACAACCTTCAATCACAGGAGTTATAATATGAGAACTCTGACCTCAATTGCAGAATTTCATTTGAAAATAAAAGCTGTTACTCAGGATTTTTTCAAATCTGGTTTAGATTTGCATCCGTGGACGCACGAGAGGTATGGGAAGGAGGAATGAGGAGGCTCGAGGGGCTTCGAATACAACGGGCTTTCTATAATTGTGAGCTATACGTTCGTCTCTCTGAACGCTACGATGATCATATCAATGAGCAAACTTTGTTAACCCAGCGGTTACACGGAGAAATCCGGGGGCGTCGAAATGTAAGGCGAGAGATTCATGAGTCGTTTTTTAATCATTTCAGCTTTTTAGGACTCGAAGAGATGGTCTCGGTAAAAGACTACATGGAAAGAGAATACAATAATATTATCAACGAATGCAAACATTTTTTTGGCAAAGAATTCACAGGCTCAGCAATACGGTTCTCCATCGACTTTAAAAAAAATACATGAAGCGGGAAACATCAAGCTGGGCGGCTACGATGATTTCAGGAAACATTATAACAATTCACCAGAACTTTTATCAACAAGGGTGTTGAGTTCTTTTAGAAGGTTTGTAACCAAAATGGACCCAAGACACAAATTCCTCTTATAGATATTCCATTACAACAAGGCACCATTCTATTGTCTAATCAAATCACTAAAATAAAGATGACTGACTACTATATGAAAGACCAGGCCATGAATAATCTACGAAGCCAAATCAAAACATTAGAATACCTTCAATTTTTAAAATGTTATAGTCGCTCTCTCGAAAGCAGAGCGGGGGCAACTCGACCATCCAAGCCCCCTTTTCGCATGAACCATGATCCATTCGTTTATGGAATCCCGAATGTATCACTTTTGGGACTATTGGTCATCTTGGGGTTATTGTATGTGGGACGGGGAACAAATTGTCCACATTCGAGATATTTTTTGGCCCACTGGCAACGCACTACTACGTAATCATGGTCCAAGGTCACGTTTGAGCTCTCGAGTTGTCTCTTTACCAGCGTTGTAAAGTTTGAATAGCGATGATGTTGTAGGCATCAAATCTAGTGAGGCCATCACGTATTTGTTTTTAGGTATCAAAATCAGCATGGCCGTTGAAAAATCCATAAATTGTATTCTTCAATGTCCTGATTAAGTTCTGACAATCAAAAGGCCGCTTAGGCACCCAGAAGAAGTGCTCGCCAAAGCCACATTATGGTACGTTGATGAGTGGTCTATTTCTTCATCTGTGGACAGGTCTATCTTTCTTTCGGAACCTTGGATATTCTAATTCGTTGAAACTCCAAATTGATCTTGAAAGTCTGAGCTCACATCTCATTCTTTACGTTGGTCTTTTGAGAGCTCATGGTCGCTTGTCACGATAAAGTTGAGTTTGAGGAAATATGGTAGTGACTTGAATACCATGTTAGGTATGGCCTACGACAAAAGGGGCATAATTGATGAATAGGCTGCGCACAAATTATCTGTATCCGTAGATTATCTATGGATAATCCACTTTATGAGTTATTCATTAAAGATTTTATTTACTTTATAGATTATTTGTTGAGACTTTAAAATTACTTGTTTTATATAGATTCTTTTTTTTTTGTTTAAAATATAAAGTTATTCCTAAATTATTTTCCAGTCCAAAAGTAATCCAAACTTAGATTTATATTAATTTTTATATTAATTATAAAATTATATTAATATTATAAAAGATTATAAATAGTTATATAATATATGGGTAAATAGATATTTATAAATAATTGTGGATTACTTATAAGTTATTTGTTCAGATTCTGAATTATCTGCTTTACAAACGAATTATTTGTAGATTATCTATCGAGGCTATTATTCGTTCTGTGGATACCCGTTGCGTAGCCTATTGACGAGTGTTAGTATAAAATATGAAAGATTCAAGCCAGTCTTATGCGGACGTTTCGCTAGAGGCATAGGATGTTTCATATTGATTTGAATATGACCATGGAGTTCCGCCGATTTGGAAAGACCTGATGGACTGGAGTAAGCAGTTTGTTAGAATCTAAAATAAGGAACATAGCACACTTATTGGAGTCTTTGAGAGCGAAGTGATATAATCTCCTCAAGTAATAGAGATGCATTGCCAGGTCTGACTCCGTGACTTGAAAATGTGTTGCCGAAAATGGAAGTTGAGACGTTAGCGCTATTAAAGGTAATGGATGTCATTTGGGCGGAATTTCTCACTTTTCACTTTTCAATCTCGCAACCTTCCTCATCAGAAAAACGTTTTTGAATGGTCTTCAAAGCTTTCTTGATCTGAGGAGCATAATAAATTGACTCTCGGATCCTTCAAAAGACTGAGAGTATTCTCGTTGTCCTTCAACGATTTCATGAGGATAATCAATTACTTCCTCTGGTCCTTCCCTTCACGGCTGTCAAATTCACCTTCGAGTATCTGTTTCTGGATCTCCCAGTCGAGTTGCGTAAAAGAATCGTAAGTTAGTTTGGGGCATTTTAGTGCATTTCTTAGAATCATATAGCATATCTCTTGCCTTCTTTTCTGAATCATGAAATATCTATACTGATCATGTTCGCTTAGTGGTGGTACTCTTTGCTAGGGACCCGTGTTGTTCAACTTCATCGGGTCGAAGGAAAATGCTGGTCGGACGGAGAGCAGCCTGTTGCCCTTCGTGTCTGTCAAGAATTTAGGGACACGGCTTTAGAATATTATAGAATGGCCTTCTGAATCTTCACTGGCAACCACATACTTCGATTTCAATGTCGACATGCTATAACTTGCCGTTGGAACTATCCCCCATCACGGTGTTGAGTTTGTCAGAATGCTACGAGGTGGGATCAGTCAATGCGACTTGGGATTGGTCCAGTATGTCGCTATAGATCACTACTATCTGAAGTTATTGTTATGGAAACCACCAATCGGCTTTCGGGATTTTAAAGAAGATGACGCATGCCTCAGGAGCCTATTTCCCGCCCTACAATCGTTCACTTCAATCGTGATACCATGTGCAGCTGAGCCTTGGAGTTGGTTCGAAGACGGCCCTCTACCATTTGGTGACTACTCTATGGATATTATAATTGCTAAAGATGAAGAGATTACCAGAGATTTTCGGCCATGGATTGTAAAGAATAGGAGAAGCTTTCTACCGTTGAAATGTTCTTCTAAGCCAGCGGCCTAGGAGGCTGACATGTCCGTACTGTGGAGGTACATTGAGCTTCATGGTACACCAGGCGTAACATTACGCATTGTTGCTTTGAAAAAGCTTAGAAGAGATATAAAGTGGAAGCACCGAACGGAGTATCTGAATGAGGCTGTCTATTTCGGCGACGATAATTGCCTTTTCCGTGCCACCGAAGCGCTTTCGAACCTGCTGCACTTACGAGACCATGATTTCAACATTTATCAAAGTTCGGTGTTGGCTTGCACAAAGCTTCTATCTTTCCAAAACTTGAACGTTTGAAGATAGTTGATGAAAAGGCATCTGTTGATCCGCTTGAAGTATATAAGTGGACAAGGTGTTGTGAATGCCAAATCAAACACAATAGTCCAGCCATTAACCAATGTCAAGAATATGAGGGAATGAGTGACGGCTTTGAGCTAGATGGAGGATTTGATATTGAAGACGAGATGAGAAAATGCTTACTTCTGGCTCATGAGTCATGAGTAGTTCGAGCCTCGGCGAACTCAAGATGTTTAAGCGGTAGTCGAAATGGAATATAGTGAGGTTTTTAGCGAGTCGAAATACCTCGATATAATATGGTGGCTCTCAACTAGAGTAGATATACATTGCTTCAAATAGCTCGAGAATTTCGAAAGTTGGTCGTAGCAGATGATTTGTACTTTTCAATCAGATCTACATGTATGTAGATAGATTATTATATTTGAGCATGTAATTAGAAAGAAAAAGCAATAATAAGTCAACTACCCCACTTTCCGACCACCCCCTGTTTCCGACCACCTAAAAAATTCATATTATCTACACTTAAAACTTTAATAACTCAATAACTATTGAACTTCAATGAAATCGCCTGTAGAATCACTTTCTATAGCACTAGAGCTATCATCTACCTCATCTTCACGATCTCCAGCTTCAATTTGTGTACGCCTTATAGCTCTAATCCCTGCGAACTTCGAATTTGGAGATACCACAACCTTTCGCCTTTTTCTAGGTAATGCTTCATCTAATTGATATTCTAGCTTTCTAATCTTATTCTCTGCCTCTAAGAGTTCATAATCCTTAGCATCGAATCCTTTTATAATCTTGCGAAATAGTAATCTTCGTGTTGGCAAATCGATCTCCTTCTCTTGAATCATTATATCTCTATATTTTCTGATATCGGCTCCTTTTTGAGGGGTTTTCCATTGAATAAACGATGAATATATATTCCATTGAAGAATAGGATCATCATCAGATTCAGGATTAAGTGATAAAACCTCTCTATTGCTATTTTCAAGCAAAAGTCGACTCATAAGAGGTTTAGCCATATTTTTGGGCCAAAGACCACTAGCTTGCCACCCAGACTTGATATTTTGAATAGTTAAACCTTCTATTCTAGCCTTCTGATAGCAAGAAAGGAAATTGCGCTTTCCAATTGGTGAGGAATCGGATAATAGACTTAATTTATTAAGTTCGATTCGATATGCACTTTTTAGGGGTGAGAACACAGATAAATCGAGTGGTTGTAGTACGTGTGACGTATGTGGTGGGAGAAATAAGAGATATATGTTGTTATTAAAGCATTCTAACATAAATGCTGTAGTTTCATGGCTTCCGTGTCCGTCCAAAATGAGGAGTCTTGAATTTTCCGGCTGAATAGGGGTAGTTTGAGGGATATAGATCTTTTTCAGCCATTCTAAAGCTGTAGCATCTGTAGTCCATCCATTTTCTGTAGCGGTAAAGTTCCAACCCTTGAATAGAGTCAAATCTGTTGGAAACCATTGTTGCTGAACTGATTTTCCCTTATATATTACAAGGGGAGTAATGCTTTTTCCATTGGCTGAAATGCATTCTATAAAAGAGGTCCAAATTCGAGATCCAGGTTGCTTTTTTTGAATAAATCTTCGATCAGTGCTTCCTACTACTAGTCCATTAAGACCCTGACCCTCCATTATACCTGCTTCATCCATATTCCATCTGTTGGCCGGCTTAATAGCCTTGATTTCAGGGATTGCGAGGTTCCGGAACCACTTCTTAATAATATCAGATGTAGCACCTGAAACTCGTGCAGAATCGATTTGATGTTGCTTCTTAGTTCCAATATTAGGATGCCTTCGAAAAAAGCTATGTATCCATTTCTTTCCAAGTGAGGGATCCTCCCCTCGTACAATAAGGAGGTGCTCTGCCATCTCTCTGATTTGACGATGTGTAGGGCTAGTACCAAGAGCTTCCTGTACTAATATCCATTCTGCTAGTCGATTCTCCTGAATTGGAGATAACTTTTGAAGTATTTGGGCGCCTTTTTGATGCGAAACTCCACCATATATTCGATCGTGAAGTGTGGTACGTGGAACACCATAATCCAAGCTAGCTCTTCGTATGCTTGCTCCATTTGTAATCGCTCTAAGAGCCTCTGCGATATCTTCTTCGGTATATCTATTCTTCATATCACAATTATAATAATATCAAAATTTCAAATCAATTGATTAAAGCATTGTTGAGTTATTCAAAGTATAAATTTTATAATTACTCAAAGCGGTGTGGTTTTTGAGGTGGTCGAAAAGAGGGGGTGGTCGGAAAGTGGGGTAGTTGACTTACTCATAGCTATCACTATGGCTTTTTGCATTGTTTCTGGTTTGTTTCCCCTCGTGTTTCTGGTCGGTAAACAACTATTGTTTTCGGAGCTCTTGAACCGGGAGGAAGATTCTCTGTAATCCTATCAAGATTTCGATTATTTTTATCTCTGGACTCTTTTAAATGCTCAATTTCATCAGGATCCCGATCTTTCGACTAGTGATATCGAGTCGATGATATGATACACTTCGATGTTCTTCAAGGTTATTTAGTATTCGATACCTACCTTTGCATATCGCTCAATCAGCTCCTTCTTGAGATCATTGGTGTTTCTGTAGAGTAATGAATAGCATGGTTTAGAGCTAGCCTTCCCTTGGAGTAAAGACGGGTATTGATGTCAAGATGGTACTCTTCATCATGAGCTGGGATCCCTGATAAGAATGGAGCTATAGGAGTGAGACTAGTGAAGAATGCTTCATTTGTGAGTGGAAAATTGTGGGTTGGGATAGTGAGTAAAGTATAGTAAATTGTGTATAGGTGGGTATTAGCGGAGCGGCTAAGAAGTAAATGGTCGCTTTGTAAATTTTCGATCGTGAGTTGTACTGTAGTGAAGCTATTGAAGATCGGAGTCATTGAATAAAGTATCCAGCCACTGTCAATATCACTTATTCACTTCTGGTATAATCTCAAGTTTGAATTCCTGGACACCTTGTGTTACCTATGGACCATTAATCTTACACTCGCGAGAGTGAATTCATACGGCACTGGATTTCGTTTGAGTAAAGAGGCGAATGATGAGCTACAGTACCATCTGCTATGCATCTCAGAGCCATAAATTCCAACAATTATGAACATCAACCTACCAAGACAATTTTACGGACGGACGAACAACGAAAAGAACTAAGATGAACAGAAGAGATATTGTCAATACTTTTCAGGCTTTGCAGGATAGAGTCACTTCTCTTGAGCGCGAAATTGCAACAAAGAACGCAGAGCTTCATGAAAAGAACGTTGTTATCGGGTTTCTCCGAGACGAATGCCAAAAATATGCAACACAAAACGCGACGGTTCTAGTAGCCGGACATTCCCAAATCTTACCCCATGTTCCTACCTTCGATGTTGATAAGCATGGAAAGCATTCGGTTGATATCGATTATTGGCTACAGAGAATGCAGGCAAAACTAAACATGGATCATTACTTAGGAGCTAGTCGTATGGAATATGTTGTCTCTCGACTTGGCAGTGGCCCTTCGGCATATGTTGATAAGAGATATCGAACAGCGGAACAGATTCTTGAGGCTTTGTACAAGATTTATGCCAACACGGATCAGAAAGAAGCCGCTGAGAACGCTTATCGCCGTTTGTGTCAGAAGGATAATGAACCATTCCCACTGTTTTGGAAAGAGTTTCAACGCCTCAGTGCGGTCCTCGAGATGACCGAAACAATGATGGTTCATGACTTGTGTGGAAAACTCAATTTGAGATTGCGCCAGGCTTTGATAGAGGTCAATGTTGATAATATCGAAGATTTTGGAAGGATTTGCAGGATTGAGGATAGAAAGTTGAGAGTAATGCAGCTTTGAAGGATCTCGATGAGGAATGAGTCGAGATTTGAACGATGGTTAGGAGTTTATGATCTGGATTGAGAGAGCTGCGCGTGGATTGTGCTTCGCGTGGAGGGACTGGTACCTAATCGCCGCAAGCTTTTGGTCAATGTTGCCGGGTTCTTTTTTTCAGTCATGGGCTGGAAGTTTTGAGGGGAAAGAAGGGGGGATAACTGTAATCCTACGGCAGATTACCATTTCGAAACATGTAATATGATCAGAATCTAATCGAAGAACACATTGTTTTCAGATTCCTAGGATTTGGGATTGGACAAAGTCGAGTTTCTGCCTCTACGATTCATTCGAGGCTTTTGGCGTGAACAAGTAGACAGCGAAGAGTCTTCCCTGGTTATTGAGGTGCTGGATCATCTCAAAAGAGATAGGACGAGTGGAGCAGATCAAAGTAGCTCCGAGCTGCTTTCATCTGACCAACAGGCTAGTTGGTACTGCAAAGTCTTGGCTGGGGGCGTGGTCAAGCGAATTAGTTGTGGATCTTATTAAGCTCGCAATCATTCTGTTCGAACGAGATGAGGCCTGATAGACATTGAAGAGCCTCGTGGAAGTAGCTTTACATGACAAACTTTTCACTTGAATTTTTATATGACTTGATAGTGCAAGTTTCCTGCAAGTGACCACAGTTAATTTTTAATTAATTGATAATCTGTTTCAATCTTGAGAGATTTGGTATTATCTGCGTGATATTATGTTGGACCTTAGATTGTAATTTTCTGACCAGGATGGAAGATTGTATTTTCTGTCACTCTATTTTTGGCAGTCTATAAGATTCCGAAACTTCTGGCAGCTCGTGTTGGAAGATTTCTTTACGGGGGAAGAAACCTGGAAAGAAGAGGTGTTTCGAAACGAGGGTGATTTACCCAAGATCTACGACCATAAACCATCACTTCGGATGATTTTTTACGACCAATAATTCACCACAATCTAGAGCCATGATTTGTCTAGTAAAAATTCAAAAGTTGACATCTACCGTCAAACAAACATCAGATATGTTGTTAATCGTCTCAAATCAAGTCATGGATATCTCACTCGGTTACCGGAGGGTCAGTGATTTACAAGAGATATCATTAGTTGTGCTGCCACCTTTCCCGACTAGATAGATGAATTTAACAAGGATAACCATAAGCTGCAGGCTCTATGAGTTTAAGAAGCGGCATTACTTCGTCTCATCTATAGTATGAGATCTTTGAATCTCGAATCTCGGATCATGGATTAGCATTCCCATTTCTCGACACTGTTGTAAATTTTGTGTGGTCTCTATGAAGCCAACATTTCGATATCCCCTTTTCCTAATAACAGAAAAATCATTGCTGGCTTAATCTTAGTATTCATACTGTATACTCAATACGATCCTCGAAAATCACTCACAATTTTGAAAGCTGTCGGTAATTCACCGTCCTGCTACACTTAATTGTTCTGGTAGTGTGACAGCGAGTTTCATCGGCGGCTTTGGTCGTGGCAGCTTGCTATACAGAATCTCCTTTATTGAAATTACTTAGATGGAGATGAGGGAATTTTAAACAGTTCACTTCTAATGTAAAACCGCGAGATGTATTCACTACAATGAATTAAGAGCCGCGATTGTTGTCGCTTAATCGTCTATCCAGACACTCAAGATATTCCACAAAATAACCTATCTTGTATAATGTTCACGACATGGCATAAAAGCGCATCCGAAAATTTTCAACGTACATGCATATGAGTTTGAGTGCATTTTGACCCGAAGCCCAAGATTGTCTGGGGCTTGGCAATATTTGCAAGAGCGCGGAAAAGGCAAAGCTGAGGTAACAGGCGGGTGTGAGCATGTTCTGCGGATGACTTTGCGTTGTGATTTTTTGTCTATCATTTTCCAGGCCTGATTTCGTCTTCACTTCTTATTCAATTTGATCTGAGAAATGTGAGATGACAAAGCTATGTAGGATATGGGTGGAAAGAGTTAGTGGAAGAGAGGAAAATTGCGTGGTATTATCCACAAACTTTATATCCATAGCGTAATATTTTTGCTAATTCTGGATTTCTGATAGGCTGCACAACGAGTACCTGTAGGGCGGATAATAACCTCGACAAATAATCTACAGATAATCCGTCTGCAAAGTGGATAATTCAAAAATATGAATGGGTAATTTATAGAGTAGGTACAAATTACTTATAGATATTCATCTATTTATATATTATATAATTATTCATAATCTTTTATAATATTAGTATAATTTTATAATTAATATAAAAATTAATATAAAATCACTTTTAGGCTGGAAAATAATTTGGGAATAGCTTTATATTTTAAATAAAAAAACAAATATATTCACATAATCTACAAATTATCTATAAATAACTCATATATCCACAAATAATCCATCTATTCATAAATAAATGGATTATTTACAAATAATCTATAGATTATTCATATAGAACAGATAATTTTAAAGCCTCAATAAATAATCCGCAAAGCAAATAAAACCTTTAACAGATAACCCACAGAGCGGATTATCCGCAGATAATCTACGGGTACAGATAATTTGTGCGCAGCCTAATTTCTAATACCAATTAGCATTCGCAACTTGATCTATTTCGAAATGAGTCAAGTGGATCTCGCGATCCCCATGTTTTGAAGTGGTCCGGAATAAATGAGTTGCCTGTTTGAACTTACACTTGGAATCAGAAATGAGAAGCCTGCCACGACAAGAACGGATGTAAATCTGCATGTAGTGAGAGCTAATTTAGGAGTACATAAAGAAGTCCTGTAATCATATGACCTCAGAATTGAACTTCTTATAAACCAGATTTCCCATAGACTATACTGCTGTGCCGTTTAGGATATGTAGGTTAGACCAAATGATATACATCTTTCCTTCATTAATTCTTCTAGAGGAATGATTACAAGACTCATTTCAAGGCATATTTACACGCTCATATACTTTAAACTTCTACAAGTATAAGTTTGAGTCCTTTCCTGTGGTAACAGCTCTCTTTGTGAAGAAACAGTAATATTGGTATTATTATCAAAATCAAAACATCAATTTTGTAAATTTGAAGAATATTTCTTATACACTTCTAAAAATGAACCAGTTTCATCGAATGATGAAACGTTATAACATTAGGAGGTCGTATTATTATTATTATTTTTAAAGTGTTTCGATATGCTTGATACCTAGGCGTAGTCAGTCAAAGATTTATATGAGACTGGAGTTCTCCCCCAATATAATGAGTGGAATACAATAGTAGAACTTTTACTAATTGAAGAATATTCGAGCTGCTACAGAATTTCTCCTTTGAAGTACTTATTAGACTACTTTTCCGCTCACTCCTTGTGTATTATGCACTAATACCTTTATTTTAGCTTTAGCTCTTTTGAGGTCTTATTAGTGTTCGTCTTTCATTAGAATAATTCCTACTATCATCTGGCCATATTTAGTCATATTCTCTTATTTGTACTACCTTTTTATCTACCACATATACAAACTTTCATAATATCTCGCCTAAGCATCTTCATAGTAGTGAACTTCAATCTATGACTTCTAATAGAACAATACAAAATTCCTCCTTTTAGATTTTTCCTTCATTCATTCGAAAGCCGTTCTTGTTATTTTGAATACTCAATGTCACTCATCTGTTGATTCTATATCTATGTTCATATAAACTTTACTTATTAGTAAAAGACTATCTGTTCTCGACACAACTTTCTGTAGAAATTGAGTTTAAACTTCCTTTCTCATTAAAATATTCCTACCATCTCGCTTGTATACTCTCTGTTTTATTCAGATGATCTTAAATTCTATCAGAGTAAAGTAAACTATTATTCTTTCTTCGTTAATCATCTAATACAGAAATCTTCTTCATACAATTCAAAATTGTCGATTATCTGTTGTATTCTAGCCATATAAACTCATAAAATCCTTAATTCCCATCAAAGATTTAGCTACTCTCATCTTATATTGTTTGAATGTTTCATTCTTAGTTCACACTTCAAAGTCGAACAATCAAAGTCTTCCAATTTGTATTTTGTGAATTCTGGGTTTTGAACTTTCCCCTAAATTACACAAGGACAGTTCTCCTCTTTACTTTGTTAACGAAACATCTCTAACTAGGACTGAAAGATAGACAATGATTGTGAGTTTCTATTATCTGGTAGCAATCATGTCTTATTGATACTTCAAACTTGAACAATTGTTGTTCTTCTCTATTCCTAATTAACGACAGCCATGCTCATTTTCACTCAAATTCATCTAATCTAAACTATCCTGTATGCTCTACGAATAACAACTATCAAACTTTCAGTTTTCCTATTTATTATCCCTGATCCTCAAAACAGAACTCTCAAAATGAGTAATTTCAACACGTGACAGGTCATTATTGAAGTTCCGAGGAACTTTTAACACATCAGGGGCGGCAGAACTTCGGGGGTAGCTAACCGACAGGCTAGGATGGATGTTGGGACTATCTTGATGTACACCAGAAAGAACTAAAGATAAAAAAAAAATGTCTTAATTGACGATATATACATTTTTTTGTTATGTTATATCTTTTGTGCATCTACTGGATGTTTCCAATACTCAGTAGTGATGAAGGGAAGGTAACTATGTTGAAAAATGAAGATACTTTTGTCATGCATTGATGAAATGCAACACCAAATGATGTGAATTTGATGATTGAGAAAGTATAAAAAGTTGATTTGAAGGACCTTGAGCTATTTTTATATTTTGAGAAGTCTAGAGGTGTTTATGAATGTTTGAAAATAACTTTATTGATGTTTTCAGAAGGTTCATGAATGCAGTATCTGGCCAACATTATATTCCCATATCTAGTTCCTATCATTTTGAGTATATTTGAAGTTCATATAAATTGCCTGAAATGACTCTTTTTCTGTCCCACTGAACCGCAACGTCCACTTATGTAGTATGTAGATGTATCATATAAGCCAGAATTCTGTTATGATCATGATTTATTGCTAAAATTCCACTTAAAGCCATGAAATAACAATCTAACACAATCTTATCTTATAGCCTAGAGAACACCATAGATTCATTCACTATGATTCAAAATTGTTTACTATGTAAAGCACTAAGCCACTCATATAGTGTTGTGCCCTGCTCCAGTGCTGCCAGCACCTACCTCCACCTGAGCGCCTACTTGATTCCCAACCTGCACCTGCCATTTGGCAGATCTACCAATTCTGTATTCCGAAGAGTAGCTTAGATTCAGAATTGCCTCTATGATGCTCGAAGTACTTGTGTTTGTGGGAGTTACTGGATGTAAACGCTCATTTATATGCGCTTCAAAGGCCTAGTAGATGTAATCGATGACGCGAATAGGGTGTTGGGGATAGAAGTAGCAGAGCCTAAGCATTCAGAATCTACAGACAAGGAGGTAAGATCTCGGTATGTAAACGCGCTTGTTTAGTTTTTGAGGGAATCAGTCACAAACATCTGACAGCCTGTACTTCGGAGGTTTAATTCGGAGTGTTTGTATATATCATCGAGGAAAAGCCTTCGCAACGGCTTAGGCCATGAACCATAGAGGATGCATTCCGGAGCACTTATACGATATGCAATCACAGAGGATAGCAATTAGAGCGCATGTATTTCGAGGCTTAAAGGGCTCAGCTCGTAGTATTCATACAGTGCCGCGAATAATAATGGTCGTCGTAGGGGTATGAACCTCGAACCATAGAGGTTGATCGCGTTGTGCCTATACAAAGAAGTCTGGGGATAATATTAGCCATAGTTGCAGAACGTATGGCATAAAGGAGAAATTAGCATTCTTTGAAGAATCTGGGCATAAGATCAAGCAAAGCATAGAGAATACTCACGAAGAAATCAGGAGAAGGAAATGGAGTCCTTCGGTCGGTCTTTCATTACCGCTCTACCAAGTACCCTGCTAATCGATAACCGGCGACGATGCGACGGCTGTATAGCAGAGAGAAGGAATTTCTCTGCCACGCACTATGTACTGTCGTGTGGTTTGTCTGCCGATAGGATTTCTTGTGGTCTTTAGCATTGCAGAATAAAGGCACAACCACCAAATTTCCTGATGTAGGTAAGCAAGCCATGAGTTTTCCGCATTCTATCCTGGTATGCCATAAGAGATCTGCTAATGTCGCAATTTCTTGAAGTAGGATCGCGATCGCAGGATATTGCGCTGTAGTAAGCAGAGAACGGAGACGACCCACGATAACAATGGAAGGGCACGAGGCTCTCGAGTATATCGGCAGAGGGGGAAGTCGAGGCCCTATGTGACGATGGGCGGGAAAAAGGAGACCTGGAGGCTAGGTTGCAGTAGGAACAGAAGGATAGCGCCGAGAGGTGGGTCGGAGTGGATGGGAAGGGAAGGAATGCGGCTATGTGACAACGAGGCTGCGGAAAATAGAGCGCTCTCAACACGCGTGGCAGATGAGGACTGAGCAGAGAAGCAGAGGTGTAGCAGAGAGGAAATGAGGAAGGCTACGCGTTACATGTTGGTGTGAAGGAGATGTTGGGCTGTGATCGAGAATAGATGGACTGCCCTACGGCAATACAACGAGACATGCAATAATCCTACCAAGGGGCTCTTAATCAACGTAGGAGATACAAGCACAATTGATAGGTTTCTAGCAGATAGCAGATAGAAAAAGAGGAAGACTCTACGATGCGAAGGAATTCCAAAAAGCCTGGAGGGAGGGTAGTGGGTGGTTGACAAGCAAAATCGATACACTTCTATTGTAACTACATCTATATACACATTATACACACATTAATCAAGCTCAAAAATGAACTGTAAACCTCCAATATTGTACTCATTTAAAGCCCCTATCTATCTACACCTCTCTACAGATCCTCATCGGGTCTACTTTCGGCCTTCCTCCGCAGTATTATCGGAGTTTACAAGGACAGTGGAGGTACCTGTATGGAGGAGGTAGCGAATCTAGCCTTATCATGTGATGCTGTGCTTTGCCTCACCTTGATCGATATTTAAGTTTCGCGCCCACGATCTTGTCTCCAGGAACTTCCTTTCCGCAACATCCCATTTGCATCCATCAACTGATTGACTGCCTGTAACATACCACTACCTTGTCATTACAAGAACATATTGGCGTTAGTTTAATTGGTTGCTTCGTTCTTTACATTTGATAAGCTCTTTGCGCTCAATCCTCCTGTGTCGAATCTCAACCATCTTTGCAATTATCAATTGTCAACATCGCCATCCTTTCCTACAGTTCACACAACTTCGTAACAATACTCTGACAGGAACTTAGTCCAATATGTTGTCTGATTCTGAAATCCGCAAAATGAAAGTTGCGCCACTCGTCGACATTGAGATGAGAATGCGGTACAGTCGCGACGGAAACATAAGAAGGAGTCACTCTCTTTGCATCGATGGTGTAAGTTTCTTATCCCTAACCTTCTTCAACATCCCTTGCTTCTTGAAGTTTACTCTATATCCCCATATAACTTTTCTTTTGAAGATCGTATTGCTTTAGCCGCCTACTTAACTTGCTCACCACAACCGAGAGTCATTCTTCCTGCTTCAACGATGTTTACTAACTTCGGTTTACAGCTTACAACGCCACATAAGCCTCTCTTGATGTTAAGTGAGAAGTACATCGCATCTCACGCCCCTAACCGCAGGGAACTTTACGATCGACCAAATTGTCCTCAACAAATGAATGCTTATGGCGAACTTCTGGACAATAAGTATGGAAAGCCGCTTAGCGATTACCATAGAGCCACTATCCATCTAAATATGGCTCGTTGCTTCCTAGATTGTCTCGACAAGAATATTTGCAGCCAGGATGACTTGCTCTATCTCATCGAATACCACTTCAAATCTGCACATGGCTGGGCAACGGCAGTAATCGATCGGCGAAAACTAGACATTACAAGTGATGAGTGTGTGCCATTTAACGATATCATCAATGCGGCCGATGATATTAAGGACAGCTTGTACGCTCGAAAGATTCAGATGGACGCCCTCAATAAAGATAATATGGTAGATGTCATCCCTGGATCGAGCGAACCAATGTTGCCTTCTGAAGTTGTTGATGACAATGTCTTGGAATGGAGCCAGAATTCTGAGACACCAAAGTCTCGGTCTTCTGAACAACTTGCAGATATCGGCGCGCAAGATGACCTGGATGGAGGTGATACATCGACAGTGCGAGGCACGGATGACAAAGTCAACAACTTTGACAGCGACCTTGAAGAAGTTGGATACGAAAATATCATTGCAAAGGCAAAGCAACCTGCTCCAATAGATGTTGATCAGCTGTACAGTCAGACGGATGTCAGAATGGTACATGGTTTTATGCACTTCTTAGTACATGATAAGTTGGGCATCTGCAACTTGATGAATGGTTATCTTGATAGAATGGACGCTGCCCTCGAGCTTGGCGAACCTGAATTTAAGATAATCAGAGATGGTGAGTCAAAGACTTCTATAATGCATTGGTACATTAGATAATAATACACAGCTTCAGCGATGATGGCGTTGAATGTTCGAGATGACGGCAGTGGTCGCGCAGTTCCACCCGGCTCATCACCAGACACCCCCCTCGCCACCATTCATTCCCATTGCTTCTACCTCACCCATCCGCACACACTCGAACAATACTGAACGCGAGTCTCGAAAGAAGAGAAAATTTGCTAAAGACGATGAAGAAGATGAAATACTTTGATGGCTGTTTTAATTTGTGTGGCGGCCAAAATCTCTACTCTGATTGATAGCTAGTTTCGTTTTATGCATGGGATACAGGATATGAGTGGCGGGGACATGTAGGCAAGAAAGCCCTTAAGAGCAATTGAACGTAGGAATAATACAGCCACTAGAAAATGATTTCAAAGACTTCCAGCGTTTTCTGACCTCAAGTGATAACTATATTGTGCTGGCTCAAGATCACCAAGTATTTGCTCATGCACTCCTGCCCAGGCTGCAATTTGTATCGAGTAAAAGGGTCTCTATTAACATGAGAGTACTCCACAATGGCTTTGTATCAGTAACACAATAGCATTGTAAGAATAAATGTATTCTAAGCTTTCACCCAACTAGCATTGTTGAGTGCCAACAAGCCTGGATATATGGACTCTATACCCTGAATTCAAATATTACAAATAGGAACAGACAAATCTAGTCATCAAACATCTATATGTTCATATAATTCATTTTACACAAGGTCTGCAGCTTTGAGACAATCTTGTTGCCAGGTATTACGATGTAGAGAACTTCACACAGCATAAATCTGGTGGAGGTCAAGAATTGAAAGGTTAAAGCAAGTCGAAGAAAGGTTGAGTGATGTTCGGGCCGACAGTTAATCCATCAGACTAAGTAATGGTTTAAGTCTAGATCCCGTGCATCATAGTCAAGTCAAGGTTACATGACTAATAATAATTTACAGTACCATCTACCTACTGTTTCTATGTCTGTTTCTTTACCTTTTAGATAATGGTTGAACAATATTGTACTGTACGTGGGAAGAATGTCATTTTTTCTTATTCACTCATTTGTTCCTCAATGCAATATTCTATCCAACCATGAGAGATTTAACTAATTAAGATTTGAATTTGAACTGTAGTAAAATGACACTAACCCACTAAATCGCTTAGCCACACTGGTTTGTTTTGATTTTGGGCTCGCCCACCTCTATTTAGGATCTTTGCCTGACAACTCAGATTTTTGACCCCTCCATTCTCCCACTTCTACTACCCACCCCAAAAGTACCTTCCAACCATAACGCTTCTCAAGTAAAGCAGCATTAAAAAAGTTACCTGCAGATTTTATTCTACATATTCTTCAAGATATCCAAATAAGTCTATTCATCATGGCTGAACCAGCACACCAAGAGATCAACACCAGCAATGAGCCCAAACTCGTTGAGTCTGAGACTAAGCTCGCCACTGAGCCAGCAGCTTTAAAGGAGGAGTCAGCCAAGGAAACTCCAGCTGAGGGTTCTGTATGTTGATAATTCCCTTTTTAATATTGCTATCTGGCAATGTCGTCGATGCTATTACACTTTGCTAATCATAATCATGTTTAGACCTTGACCGAACAGGCTACAGCTGCCGCATCCACTGCCGCCGCGACTGTCACCTCTGCCGCTACTGGTATCACTGATAATGTTTTCTCGATGTTCGGTGGTGGAGCCAAGAAGGAGAAGAAAGAGGATGAGGACCGAGGAGATAACTCAGGATCTGCCAAGGCACAAAAGGCCGCTGCTGCTGAGGAGAACCCAGAGGTATTGTTGGACAATAGGCAAACAGACAAAAACACAACTGATAATATTGTAGGATGAGGCCCCAGAATCCGAGGATGTCCACTTCGAGCCAGTTATTCGTTTGACCGAGAAAGTCGATGTTAAGACCAACGAGGAACTCGAGGAGCAAACTTTCAAGATGCGCGCTAAGCTCTTCAAGTTCGTCAAGGATACTCAAGAGTGGAAGGAGCGTGGTACTGGTGATGTCCGATTCTTGAAGCACAAGGAGAACGGAAAGACTAGATTGGTCATGAGACGAGACAAGACTTTGAAGGTCTGCGCCAACCACTATGGTATGTTTACGGCATTGAACAGTAAAATGTAGAGCTTGAGCTAACCGTTCAAAGTCGTTCCTGACATGAAGTTGTCTCCAAACGTTGGTAGTGATAGAAGTTGGGTCTGGAATGCCGCAGCAGATGTTAGTGAGGGCGAGCCAGAGGCACAAACTTTGGCTATTCGTTTTGCCAACTCCGAGAGTAAGCATCTCTGCCGCAAATGCAACTATCATATGGAAGCTGACATTTACCTAGACGCAAACCTTTTCAAGGAGGCTTTCATCAAGGCTCAACAAGAGAACGAAGTTTTCTTCAAGGCCTAAACGATAGATCCGACCTCGTATTTACTTCAACTTTCCAAAATGACTCCTCAATCGACACAGCATAATCCAGCATAGCACGTTTCCTGAAGGAATGAATTTATGATCATATTTGCATTAAAACGCATTTCTTCCATACCCCGTTAACCATTTACGCGCACGTTGTCGAGAACCTCTTTTGTAAACATCGACAAATCGATACCTAGACATTCTGGCGGTCCAGGTTTTGCCCAAAGATTATATCATGATGATGATGACGATGATGGAGGATAGGAAGGCTTGATTAGTACTCAATTTTGAGACTATGGCATGTAGTTAGACTAAAAATACCAGTCCTTCGTTCATCCCCAAAGGACCTACTGATTTGTCTACATTTTGAGATGTGAATATCAAGATTTGTTTGTAATATAGACCTTTTGTGGATGTTCCTGTTAAAAGCACCTGTTCCTGTTAAAAGCACCTGTGGAATATACAAATGTATATAGACAAATGTATACCTAGCTAGGTACTGTATTCGTTCCTTCGACTCTGTAGCAGAATGTCTTATTTTGAGTAAATACTATTATACAAGTTTAAGTTAGGTTCGATGTTTATTCCATCAAAAGAACAAACAACCTCGGAAAGCTGAAGTCTCCTATACTAGTACTCAAAGTCTTAAAATTCCCTCCAATTCCTCAACGAAATTCCAAATCCCTAATTCCTTCTCGAAGTACACGTGATTCTTTATTCTCAATAATCTTGAGCTTAAACTAGCAAGGATATCAGTACCCCACTCGAATTACGATCAGCCAACTGCAGGCGCGTCGCAATTGAGACCGACATCATCAAGAATTCGAAAATCCGACAAAGCTTATACCATCAAAATACCGTCAAGATGGTGGCAGAAGTGAGTAATTCGGAAATGCTTAGATTTTAGTTCCCTAATAGCACTTTGAACATAATTACTAACTGCGGCGCAGATTAAAAGAATGATCAAGCTCGTCACAGAGCAGCGCAACATGTAGGTCGCGATCTAGCTTTCAGTTTCCCAATCTTACCCTGGATCTTGAGACTATATGCTGAAACTCACTCCACAGCGATAAACCAGCGCTTCAAGAAGGGTTCCCAATGAAATCATGGAACATCGAAATCTTTATGTTGGATGAAAATGGAAACGAGAAGCCTGCGACTTGCTTTACAAAGGCAGTTTACAATTTACATCCTACTTTTCCAAATCCGACCCAAAGTAAGTTTATAACCTCCAGAATTTTCTTACGCGCGAAGCTTGCCAAGTTCCCGTTTAACTTTTGCCACACTACACAGCTTTTACTGAGGCTCCCTTTCGCTGTGAGAATGAGGGTTGGGGTGAGTTCGACATGACGATCGATTTATTCACTACTCCAACGGGAGGCAAGCATAGCATTGCACACGATCTCAACTTTGCCAAGAGTCGCTATGAAGCTAAACATCCAATTACATTCAAAAATCCAAGTCGAGAGTTGATTAATGCATTGAGAGAGACAGGACCAGTTCCAGGAGATGAAAATGGAGCCATTAGAAAGAAGGACGCCGATGGAAAGAAGAGGAAGAGGACTGGCCAGGTAGATATGGAGAAGTTGGCAGAAGGATTGGTCAAATTGCAGGAGGATGACCTCTTGCATGTGGTGCAAATGATTCATGATAATAAGAGCGAGGAAACATATACGAAGAATGATGTTGACTGTAAGTTCGAGTCTGGGCGCTATTAATGAAAGCTGAAGGGGGAATGCTAACGCAAAGAATGCAGTGGGAGAGTTCCATGTCGATTTGTATACATTACCAGACTCATTGGTCAAGATGCTTTGGGATTTCGTCCAGTCCATGCAAGGAAAAAATTACTAGATAGGAGATGATATTTCAACGAATATGGAGAAGTCTAGCGATAATACACAAATTTGGGGGAAAGTAACATAGGTGTTGAAATTGGATCATGGATGGTTGATGGATGCATTCATCTAGGGCAACTACTTCGAAAAGCGTTTTTCATAGAACTTTTACGCAAGCGAGGGGAGGACTCATCAGTCACAAATCCAACTTCCACGGCGTTCCAATTTTCATCATCGGGCATAGGATGGCATTTCGATTGCTATATTTTTTTAGTTACTTTTTCTCGTCTTCATTGAAGGGAGGCGGTAGGGCGTGAGCAGGTGGGCGTACTTCCTCGAAGTCCTCTTGCAGAAGGTTGCGTTACATTACTTGTTTTCGGTCAATATTTGTCTAGGAAGCATAGCGATTGGGACGGTGGATCAGATCAGATCGTGGTGGCTCACGAGATACATAACTGGTAAAATTGAATGAATGGATCAACGAATGGGATGGGTGGTAGGAGGAAATTGAATAGGAATGAAATAGAATCTTTGCAAAGCACTAGTATGTTTAATTGCGAGTTTATGATTTTCATGTGATTTCATCGATACATTTTTTATCAATGCTGCAAACCACCAGGACTAGGTTGGTTGGCTAACTAATAGTAGCCGGGTATCATTTCAATTCCAAACGCCATTTTCCCATGTGCTCCTTTAAATGCTTATCAAATGACTCCCATAGTATTCTTTCAAGAAACCCGAGTTTGGATTCTCCTATTCATCATCCCCGAAGCTCAACTTAATCTTTTTACCCTTCTTTGCCGCAGCTTTAGGTTTCGTCTTTGACGCAGCTGTGACTCCAATTTTACCAGTTCCACTCTGCTTCTGATTCCCCGTATCTTTTTTACTCGAGGACTTATTATCACCTTTCTCCCCTTCCTCTCCATTCTCTTCCTCGCCCTCACCCTCCTCATCCTCCAACCCCCCAATAACCTTCCCCACCTTCCTCTTCTTACTCCCTCCAATCCCTACCGCCATTTTCGCATTCGCACTCTCTTTCTCTTTCTCTTTCTTTTCCACCCCTTCTCCTTCTCCCCCCTCAGTTTCCTTCACTCCCTCTCCTTCTTCCCGTTCTTTCTCCCGTCTCTCCCACTCATCTTTACTCAACGTCTCTCCGCTCACCTCGTCAAAGACCACAGGCTCGCTTTCCCGCTCGGCTTCTTCGTCAATGGGTTTGCGGGGACGGGAGATGGTGAATTCGTGGCGGCCATCGGAGGTGGTGGAGTGGTTGGATTGAAGTCGTTGGAGGAAGGGGGGGAGAGTGCTGTCGTAGGAGAGGTTTTTGGAGGTTATTTTGGACATGATTGGGGGGAGGGGGAAGGGGGGTGTGGTGTTTGAGGTTTGAGGTTTGAGGTTTGGGTGTTGAGTGTTGAGTGTTGAGTGTTGGGTATTGGGTATTGGGTATTGAGTATTGTGTATTGGGTATTGGGTATTGAGTATTGTGTATTGGGTATTGGGTGTTGTGTATTGGGTATTGTGTATTGGTGGTGGTATCGATAGGTAGTATTGATATGAGTATTGATTGATATCGATATCGATATGCGACAAGCGACCCCAGACCAGATCCAAAGCTTTTAAATTTTATACGGCGGGGTAGAGATAGCTTTGATGCTGTTTGTCTACGAATGTCGAGATTACTTGAGATGGAAATTGGTGTTGAAACTTGGTTGTATTAGTAAGAAAATATACGGTTGGCCAATGAGGTGGGTGAATATCTTCTGTGGTTGGGATGGATGGATAGATGGATGGAATAGGAGAACTGGTTGTTTTTAAGGATCTTTGGGAGGACTGAAATGGGATTGAAAATCTCCGATTTGATGAGTGCGGCTTTTGGGTGCACGATATCTGATGTATAATGTGGAAAAGAAGGGGGGTTGATGTTCTAGAATGACTTTAGACTTTATGTGAGTTCTGTGATGGGTTAGATGCAGATGGTTGCTTAGTCGGAGATTTGTTATGGTGTTGTTGTATACAAGTAAGCAGCTATCTATGAAGCTCACAACTGAGTCAAGTATATTGATATCAATGTTAATAAAGGTTATCATGAATCTCAACCCCCAGGATATATATTCACTTATCCCCATTGTTGAGACTGATGGATAGATATTATTCTCCTATCGTTAGAGGATTCTTTCCTGGTAGAATATGAGATGGTTCATCTATCCATCCTTCGCTCATCTATGTGATGAGGTCTCTAGACTTCCTCAATGCATTCAGGGGCATTTCAGATACACACATCCTATCCTACCTAGTCAATAGAGCAACAAGTTAACCTTACTCATTATGTCAAAACCTCCATATAGCATACGTACAGATATCAAAATGAGGTTTGGAATAAGAGGCAATAACTAGGATTGCTTCTCTAGCCGTAATACATTTTGCTCTGTGATTGCTTCTTAGTTGCCATTGGGATGAATGTATGAAGTATTGTTGAGTACCTAGGTAGGTACTTGGGTAATTGAAGTTGACCTTTCCATTATACAATATCGGAATGAATCGACGTTACCTACCTACCTACCCGTCCATCGTCCAGTCTCCTTTATCCAATTCAATCGGTTTTGTTAGTACACAAGTAGTTAGGTAGGTCGTCTTGTCAATCTTGTCATTCTCGTCTCATTTTGTAGAACATCTGAACATCAAACATCAAACATCAAACATCAACATCTTCTCCTATCATTTCTCTCCCTCACTCATCATTCATCCCAAAACTTTCCTCTCCACTTTTCACTTACCATTCCCCTAATCTTAACCTAAAAAAAATACACCCACACCCACACCCATACACCACACTCATACCAAAATCCAAAATCCTTCTCTGGCCTGACAAACCCTTCCAGAAATACTCCACTCCCGCAAATAACCACAGGCCACCTCATCTCAGTTCCCTTTTCTCCAAAAATCTCCCCCCCCCCCAAGTCGTTCTAGCCCATTCATTTGATTGCATTGCAACACACGACAATTCACAATTACGAATTCCTCTGAAAATTTACATGTCATAATATTTTCATCCTTCTTCTCGCCATCAACATAACAGATTTATTTCTTTTATGTTGACGGCAGAAACTCCTCGGAATCATCACAGACACGTTGAGCTTATCGCAAAAGTGTTTCTATCTTCGAGGACACCCAAAGGTCCAAGTCGCTCGTTATTAGAAAAAGTATCATCGGTTTTTATTAGAAAGGAATAGCGACTCTGCCAAAGGAAATACCACGTAGAATCTTTTCGATTCGATATTCAATCATACACTCTATTCCCATTACTTTTTGTAATATTATCAAATAATCCAGATACGGCACACACTGGGTAGTGTCCTCTTCCAATAACGGCCTGGGGTCGACATAAATTCCCCCTATCTCGAAATTTGGTCTACGAACGAATCCTCAACTATCTCAACCACAACCACCATGAGTTTCGTTCAGAGGGTAATGAAGCGCATGCCTTCATCGGCACAATTACCATTGGGTGATGTGAAGGAGAAGCCAAAAACCACTTCCAGATTTGCGTTTTTCAGGCGGCCGCTTCGATTAAAGGGCAATTCCAGCATTTCGATACCACTCGGCGTAGTTTTATTATTTCCATGCATTGTCGTTGTATTGATTTTGGTGCTTTTTGTTCGCCATCCTAAATCGGGTGTGGGAATGTTAATGCCAGCTGGAGCACCACCAGCTATCCGGTATGTTTTTGGATCTATCAATCTCTCTTGCTTCTTTTTGAATGCACTGGTCACTAACATTTTTGTGTGATTGTAGGAGGATCAGTGAACAACACGACAAGGTCTTCGTGACGGGATGCGCGGAGCCTGATACCAGTCAACCAAGAGCCAATGCAGCATTCGTTGTGCTAGCAAGAAATAAGGAATTGGAGGGAGTCATTCAATCAGTGAAATCTATCGAAAGGCATTTCAATCGATGGTATCATTATCCTTACGTTTTCCTCAACGATCAAGAATTCAACTCGACATTCAAGGAAGTCATTCAAAACTATACCAGTGGGCCATGTGAATTTGGAACCATCGACCCTAGACATTGGGGATTCCCAGAATGGATTGATCCTAAAGTTGCTAAAGAGGGTATTGCAAAACAAGGTGATGCTGCAATTATGTATGGTGGTATGGAAAGTTACCATGCTATGTGCAGATTCTATTCAGGGTATGTCCACAGAACACAATCATGAGCTTGGGGAGAATGAGGAAATGCTGACAAGGGATTAGATTCTTTTACAAGCATGAGCTTCTAGCTAAATATGAGTGGTACTGGCGTCTTGAGCCAGAAATTAAATATTTCTGTGATATCACATAGTATGTCTTACTTTCGTGGAGCGTCTATAGATCAAGCTAACAAATCCATAGTGATCCTTTCCTTAAGATGATCGACTCGAATAAGACTTATGGTTTCACTATTGCCGTCAAGGAATTGAAAGAAACGGTTCCAAATATTTTCCGTTACGCATCTGCATACAAACGCGTCAATAACATTACATCTCAAGGGTTATGGGAAATGTTCGTCGAGCCTCCTCCTGAGGAGCCAAAGGAAGTCCCTGAAGATGATCCCGCTTATAAAAGGCCATTACCTGAAGAAATTCTTCGAGGCGATCCATCTCGCGCATCTTTACCAGAAATCGATCCAGAAGCTATGGAAGGAGAAAAGTACAATATGTGTCATTTCTGGTCGAATTTCGAAATTGCTAGACTCAGTTGGTTCAGAAGTAAGGAATATGAAGACTTCTTCCAAATGATGGATCGCAGTGGTGGATTTTGGATGGAGAGAGTAAGTCAATCTCTTGAAAGTTTCCAGTATTGTACTAACAGTAAACCAGTGGGGTGACGCACCCATCCATTCTTTAGCCGCTGGTGCTCTTCTCGCCCCTCGCGATATTCATTACTTCCGTGATTTTGGCTATAGACATACAACTATTCAACATTGCCCAGCAAACGCACCCGCACGTCAAAGAGCGCGCGAACCTTATCTTGAAAATACAACATTAGACGAGAAGAAACGAAAGGAAGAAGATGAATACTGGGACAATTGGGATCCAGTCAAGGAAAACGGAGTTGGATGTAGATGTAGATGCGACACGGATATTGTGGATGTAGAAGGCAAACAAGGAAGTTGTTTGGCAGAATGGGTAGATGTTGCAGGAGGCTGGGCCAGTCCTTGAGAAGATTAATCGAGGGGTGAACAATAGGATAGGATGTATTGAGGAAACCATGACATGTCATGAATGATATTGAAAGGGAAGGGAAGGGATAGGGTTTTTAGAGAACTCTATTTTGGGGATGGAAACGGAAATGGATGAAGAGTGATGATATGGGGAATCGACTGATGGATGGCTGGCTGAATGGATGGATGGATGGGATGGGGAATGGGAATGGGAAAGAAATGGAATTGTAAAGGATGTGATGTTGCATATTATCTTTTTTTAAACTGTTCATTATTCATGGTGAGAAATACAAAATGATTCCTGGTCTGAATTTTGTTTGTGTGGTGTGTTCAGTTTCGGGAGGGATCGTGTGGTATAGGTAGGTGGGTATGTAGGTTGTTTGTGAGATGTGAAGAATGAAATGTTTGTTAGAATACAGAGTGAGGTTTGGGGATGAGTGATATGGGTTAGGATTACGGCGAGGAAGGATAGGTAAAATCGGGGTGGACTGGTTAATGAGATGGTGTGGTAATTTCATGAATAGGTAGATGGATGAATAGATTTTTTGTATATGGGATATTAAAATTGAGATTGAATGTTGGGATGGGATAGGGTGGGATGGGGTGGTATGGGGGACGAGCTTTGGAAAGGGGGGTTGAAAGGATTGGGATTGGGAGGGAAGTGTGTGGGGGGAAGAGGGGGAAGGAGATGTGTGGGTGGAGGGAGGGGAGGAGGAGGAAGGTGACGTAGGAGGGGAGAGAGAATGGGAGAGGAGAGAGGGGAGAGTGGGAAGGCGGCGGAGGTGGAAACTTGTTTCTATATATAGTAAGTTTTATGAGGGGCGGGGATAAAGGGAGGGGGGAAAGTAAGAGTGGTGGATGGTATGGGATGGATAGGGAAGGGGGTGTCTTGTAAGTGCTTTATGTGAAGAGTATGAAGGGTGGATGGGGAACATGAAAGGAGGGGGAAGATAAGGGAGGAAGAGAAAGAATGGGAGGTGGTGTGTGGGAATTATATGGAGAGGAGAATGGGAGAGGAGATGGGAGGATGGCGGAGGTGGAAGAGATGGACATAGAGGCGGAGGTGGAGGTGGAGGTGGATTGTAAGGGTCATGTGTAAATTACATAAAGGGGAAAATAAGGGAAGGAATGGAAGGGAGGGA